GATACTCGACGCGCGAAGCAGTCACAGAAATTCATGTGACCTAGTGCGAGCACGAAGCTGAAAAGCCCATTTTCGTTTATTTCCATCTTAAATTTACCGAGAGAATTTAATAATGCAAGGAAGCACAGTGTAGGCGGAAAGTAAATTTCGGAAAAAAAAAAAATAAAAAAAAAAAGAAGAAGAAAGGGTAACACGAAAACCACCACTTTCAAGCACCTACCTCTGTATTCGGAATGAGAACAAACGAATTCAAAGTGAACGGGTCTGGGTGGATTGCGTAAAAGAATCATTTTATTTATTTTACCCGCAAAAGCAAATTTACTGCAAAACGGCTTTCGCGGATGACGGAATTAAAATGCTGGTTCGTGCCTTCTCGTGTGTTAGAAAATAGAATTTTGATATTTTGAAAAAAATAATATCAAATCTTAATAACGATAATTAGTATAAAATTTATATAATTATCTTTATCAAATTGAAATTTGCTTCTTTTAACTTCTCCAATATATCCTTGCCCTATCTTAGGATGCTCCTTGGAGATGCTGCGGAAATCTTACGCGATGGCTTCCTTCGTATAAACCGTCATCTGTTATTCAGGACTCTAGCTAATTCGTATAAACCGTGAGCCAAAGGACAATGATAATGGTGTCACAGGTGGTGCCGTTACGAAATGCCTTAGCGTTCCCTTAAAATACAGATTCTCCCCTGAAGCAGGATGGAAAAGCAATGACGATTCTGCGCGGGAAGATCATCCTCGAGCATCGTTACTTGGAAGAGATTTTTATCAAAAGACAAAATTACGGTATAACGAAATGGTATCTGGCAGGTTCTAAGTCGCGATAGAGAAAATTGACGCAGTTAACGCCTGGAGATGAATTTTCTAGTCAGTGAACTGGGTCAAAACATTTAAAGCTCTTAGTACCCCAATTCGCGGAATATGTATTCGCGAGGAAGGGTTTAAACCCGTTCCCTCTATGGCCCCGCGTTATTTCACGGGCACATTTTGAAACGTAAAATGTACTTTGAGCGTCGTTTGGGATCCCTTCCATTGGGGTTAGAAAATACTTTCGTCTCCCACGAAACTTAGTTCTTGCCTAAGAGATATATTTAATAAACCCAACCCGCACTAGGGTATATCTAGTTACAGAACTCGTTAGAGGCAAAGTATTCCATCTTGGTGTGAAATACATATATATATATCAAAAGTAAAACCACGCTTCGGTATCCTGGAAATATGTCTGTGAATGTGAAAAATAATTATTTTTTCTGTTGATTCGAAAAACTCCAAAAATATCTTGATCCAGGTCGTACGAGTGGTATCGATATAATTGATTAACGCGTCAGAGAAACAGGTTACAGGTAACCGAACGTGCATTGGTCGAGATTAAAGTCAATTATTATTATTATTATTAGACCTGCGCAAAATTATCGCACTTTGTGCAGAATAAATTTGCAAAGACAAGACTTTCCCAATCAACTTGTCAGTAACGACCTTCGATAATCGTCAATTCGCGTGCAACCACCTTGATCTAATTGATCTTCAGCGATAAGTAACATGTACGCAATACCCAATAAAGAAACATAAATCAGCCTTAACACGGGCATAATTCAAGATCTACGATTTATGCCTTTATCACAGGCATAGAGAGTAACGACGTAGAAAATTAAAGGTTAGATTATGCCTGATGCTCGAAAAACCAAGACTCATTGAAATCCGTAAGACATTCGGAGATAAGAATTTTGCCAGATTTGATGAAAAATTAAAATTTTAAATATCATTATTTCCTAGCTCAAAAATTACTTTGAAAAGTCCATTTTTCGAAATGCCAAATAAAGACAACAAAATTTCACTTCTGTTATCTCTGTTATCTAACAATTTTTACCGTGCTTGGAATACACTTATATATCTATATAAATGCAATGCCGGTAGATGTATGCTATTTCCTATTAGGAGCATTAGCAAATTTCAGTTATTATCCTCAATTAAGACGCCTCCAGCTTCTAATAATAACAATTTGCAGACGATATGTGTACCTAATCCAACGCGGCATATGGTCCAACATGCAAGTTTCCATGAACATTGCCAACACTTTCAGCTACCGAGCAGCACTAACGCGGCCGTTAAAATGTTATACGTTTTCTCATATACGGTCAAACGAAGAAATATCACACGAACGTTTGCCATAGTCATTAGCATTGAGCGTACCGGGTATAAATTAAACTCCTATACTACGTTAGCGATAAAAAACACATAATTAATACTAAAACCATAAAGCATCCTATTGACAATATCTAGAAAACGTTCGATTGAACTGTACAGGTTGATTCATAATACTATACTGCCAAGGTCAGGTAAGCACAATTATTCAGGAAACAGGGCGTAATTAGAGCTCCTATCTTCATGTTAATTAAACAAGTTTTCAACTGATTAATTAACATCCCAGCAAGTGCTTCGGCGTGCTTTGCAATGCTCCGCTATTCACCGGTGCGTAGAGAAGCGGAGTGTTCGCGCACGATTGGCTGCCTGTTTACTTGCCTGCTTCCCTGTTTTCCAACCCCTGCTGGTTACCTGTCAAATGAATATATACTACTTCCGTGCTAACTCCTTTTCTTTTTTACTTACTAGTAACTTAATCGTGGCCTCACGCATTCTCGATATTTTTATCATGTACATTTTTTAACGCACGGGTGTAAGGGAATTTGGTCGAAGTACTAATTAAAAGTCTACTCGTGCCAATTAGTACTAGTCTATTTTAATACGGGGGATAATTGTACAAACAGATCCTATAAATTAATATATTCCAAACTTACCAAGCCAAGTTAACTCTAACGCGGTTACAGTAGCTCGAAATAACATTTGTCCTATCAGTCACTTCCGGGTTCATAAATTGTCCGAGGTTCATTCGCTAGTGACATTCCGAACTATGAATTAAATTGTGTTACAACCGACTAATAACGCTGAGTGGATTAAGTGCCGGATTATCATTCGGGCAATGATAACTTGGTCCATGAGAGTAGATAGAGTGAGAAACTGAATTACTGGGAAAGGGGGGGGGGGAGGTTATTGATATTAATAAAATAAAAAATGTTTAATTAATTCGGGCCTTTGTTTTATGAAATATTTGAATGGATGATGAATAATCGACTCTTTTTTTTTTTTTTTCGAAATCTAATATTAATCGTGTATTAATCGATTTGCCATGTCTGCATCTTAGAATTCAGCTGACTACGATACTTGGCCGGAGAAGGAAGCCAGAATTTGCATTTTCAAACATCTCGAGTACAGCTCTAGTGCAGATACTTGCAATTTTCAGAAAGCGCAGTGACCGTCTCACGTATTACTTGACAGTTTCTATGCGGTTGAGTAAGGACGCTTACGGAAAGAGGATATCTTCGTTCGAAGACAGAGAATCGAACCGACGAAATTTCGATGACCTTTCAGGAAAATATAAATGTAGTCTTATACAAAATTTAACCAGAAAGATCGAAAACGCTTTGCGTCGAGTCTCCGCAGAATCCCTGCTGAGTGGTTTGCCGAGGGAATTTTATGAATATTGATACTAGAATTTTAAGGGAGTGGCAGGATTTCGGTATGGGGAAGCCGCGAGAGAGTTCACTTCCATTTTCCCTCAATATTTCCTTACAACGTTCCTGCCACTCAATTTACGTAGCTGATCAATATTCGCATTGTACTTTGGGCTTGATATGGTGTATATACACAGTGTGACGTATTTTCATAAGTCTACATAGACAACGAAAATCCTGGAACTAACCTACGTCACCCGGGCGGGCGCCAGCCAATTCTTTTTAACTTGAGGTGGGACAGTCTCAATTCCGCCGAAACGAGAGGACCTTAATGGACCCTGTCGATATTTGGAGTCGCGCAGAATGAGCAAACGCAACTGGATGCACGAACGGGAGCGAACGGTCACGTAAATGCACGGCCGCTCAGGCCGCTAGGTCGAGGCAGAGAGGGTCGGAGTGAGCGTGAGGTAAATAGTGCCGGAAATCGAGATAAACCGATCGAGAACGTAGCAGACGGAATCGGAGCTATGAAATCGAAATCCCTCCACCAATTAACAAATTGGGAGTACTCACCGGAGCTGGTCCAGCTAGTCCGCGAAGGCCGAGAACTGCATCCAGGGGTCGTCCAGGTGGGCGCTGCACTGTAGCACAACACTGCACTGCAGAAACACACGCAGCAAATATATAGGACTTTCTGGATATCGCGAGAGCAACGCGAGAACTACGCGAGCGAGAACTTCCTGTACCGTACGGGAAACACGGCTAGAAAAACTATCAACAGACAGCACGGGAAGCGCGAGGCAGCTCGAAGCACCCCGATCGGTGTTCCAAGACAGACTGCTTTAAAGCAGTCAATCGACAATAGTCAAATTGGAGAACTAATCACTCTGACTCTGATTGGTCGAGATCCTTACAAGCAATAACTCTTATCCTTCCTCGAGTCGTCCCTTTAACCTAAATCGAGAGCGTTCCTTAACGAATCGGTACGTGACTCTTGGACATCCTCCACGGCCGCTTCCCCAGGGACTTCGGGCGACAGCTGGGCACCACATCCCACATCCTTAACTGGGGTCAGGGTGTTCCTGCGCTACTCTTAACCGTATCAAAACTCGATCTCCGCATGCTATGCAGCCCTTTGCCTCTCTTCAGCGGGGCGCCGGTATCTCACCCGGGCCTCTACCGGTCCCTGGAGACGTCTTCGTCGGGTACTCTGCTCTGCCGGGCAACTCGGTACGTCGAAAATATCTCTCCCTGGCAGATTCGAGCACCTGGACCTCAACTAACAGTAACAAATCTTTCCGAGAGCTTTGGCGTAACTGTACGAATGAGCCCGAAGCTTTTGATCAGGGTGGCGACTCGAAGGGAACCAGAAAGAGAGGTATTCGAATCGGTAGCTGGACCTTGTGACTATGGGTGGAAAAATGACGTCACAACATATATATATATATATAATATTTGCGATTTTCAATTTTGTATTGTTAATGGAGTTTTTCTACAAATACAGAAAGTCTTGAAGAATATAAAAAGAATTTTGTTATCAAGTCTATAATAATTCACGATGCCTGATAACATGTAAATATAAGCAATTTTCTTTGATAGAAACTTCATAATCAAACATTCGTTCAATTAGCAATTATTTAATTTTGTAATTTTGATAATCCGGCCAAGTAAAATTGATATATCAAATTAAAATACAGGTACGTGCTTGGCGTTACGCACGATGGATTTATCGGGACGAAAGCAGTGTCGTTCTAATTTCCAAAATATATTTATCAAAGACTTAAAGTTCCGTCTTTTAAAACTACATGTACAAAATATATCAGTACCTTTAACTAAGCTCGTTATGCGATTTTCCACGATCCTTTATCGAAAGGACTGTTATTTATCGTCTCGTGTTTTTGCGATTTTTGCCAGGACTCGTCTATCTTGGTTTTTGCGGAAGAACCCTATCACGCGATTCCGCGGATGCGGAAAGCGTGAAACGTAAGAAATTGGATATATATAGGTACGTATCGTGGTGAGGACTGTACTACGTGGGTCTCCGGTGGTCGTTACGTCGCTTTTTGCGGTAACAGAAATGAGGCGTCAAATGACCAAGGCCGAGCCATGTCCGGAACAGACTTTGTCCATTTGTTGTTCACTTTCTTTCTTACGTCCAATTGAATTCGCGGTTTAACTCGTCGCTTTTCCGCGTGTACGTTATGTGTCTGTATATATACGCGTGCTATAGCCAGCTGGTTAAGAATGACTGAAACAAAAAGAAGACTGAAAAAATCTGCAGTGTAGTTAAATGGGGTTAAGGAGACGTAGAGTAACGTAGGAAAGATTAAAAAAATGAAAAAAAAAAGGTTCTTACCTTGCCACAACGTATTACTAAACTGTGGAAAATTCCAATCAGTCTAGGATCGATACCAATGCTGTCTCGTTCCTTGCAAATCTTCATCCATTGCTCAGCATTCAAATTATCGGCCCGATAAACACTCGTCGAGCAATTTGCAAGTTGTTAGCTCAACCGCTCGCGCGGCAAATTGTACTGAAAACGATAAATTAAGCGAAGCTAAAGTGAGACAAAGCAGGATAAATTTGTCCATTTTAAATACCATTACTTAAGCGTTATATTTATGCACGAGTTCTTCGTCCTGCAATTATTTTCAGGTACAGTCCAACCAATTTTTTTGTTTTCCTGTAACCATATACCTCATATTCAAAAAGTTTCTAATCAACATTCAAATCCATGGAGTAATTAAGTTCGACTTTTCTTTTTTGATAAAAAAAATTCAATTTAGTCTACGATGAATCCATCAATTTTATCTCTCACGAAGCTTTTGATCTTTCAGAATGGTTTATTATTATTTATCAAGCGATTACATACTGCGAAGCAGCGTTAACGTAACCGTGGGTTTCTATAGGCGACGAATTTTCCGATCCATTAATAACGGTGTTCTGGATGTGAATTTCTGGAAACTTCTAGAACATTCGAGAAAGACAGCACCCTTGAGAGCCCCTAATAACTTGAAACCCCGTAAATGAGTGGACGAACTATACTTGGTACTTTAGAAAAACGTCGCGTCGACGTAGTGAAGTTTGCCGGGTTGACGAGGCAAGGTAAGATTCTTATGTCGGATGATTTTCACGGTTTTCACCCTAAAAACCCCCGAATCACCATCACTCGAAATATTCACCCCGAATACTCACACTTACCGAGTCAGCGTCTTGTGATTTACAAGAATACTTCCTTGACGAACTTTCCGTCTTTTAGTCCTTGGTTAATGAATCCACTTGAAACAGAGGATCGTTATCTATTCACGGCAGCTTTTCTCCTTCTATTATACAGATATAGATATACAGCTTAACGCTAATGGTAAGCCTTACGATTAATGTACAAATGCCCTTAACAATGCTTCACCCCATGGCAATGGTTACATGCTTTAACGGTTATTTACGCGAGCTCATGGGATCTAAAACACTGCCACCTCCCTGGTAAGTTTACCCAGATATAATAAAGGCAAACTCACGCTGACCCTCGAAAGGGCCTTCTCTTGTTTTCCTACTTTATCATTCCCTGACTATCCACGATTTTATCATGATTATGAAAAGCACGTGAAATCGAACGGGCTGAGTGATTTTTCGAAAAATTCTATTCCTTGACATTTTTTTTTGATACGCCTTAATTATTTTTCAAATTTCTTGAACCGAATGGATAATGCTAATTTTATGTTTTGACTGTTCTGCCGTAACGGCGTATGCAATTGTTTTTAACGAAGACCTCCATAACCTCGATCTTGCGTGTTACCAACGGATCCTGTTTCACGTAAGATATCGTGCTTCCGTTAACCTATCTTTGAAGAATATTACACGAGTCATGGCTCCGTCCGAGGAATGGAATTTCAGTTTCTTTAATAAAAACGCAGGAGCACGAGGATTTTTAGTATGGATCTTTCAGTTTGCTCTCACGTATGCTACGTTTTATTTGATATTTTTTCTCATTTTGATTATCTATTATCACGCATCGCTCCTCATAATATGTGCTCATTCGTGAGAGGCAACATATACGAGATACCTATTTCTTTTTTATTGTGGTATGTATATTTTCGGATATTGTTATTATTGTTAGTCATTTTAAAAGCAGGATTACATGCGAGCAATATTTTTTCAGGTATAATGACGGCTCCTTGCTATTTGCCCAGACGTTCATCAACATCCGTTTCAAGCACTCCGGGATCCGGCACGACGTCAGCTCAGTCCAGTAATACAAATATATTACATACGAATATTAATTAGCCTTAGGAATAACATTTTTTTGAAAAAAGAAAAATAATACACGTAACGACAATTTATAAAGTTCAAATGTGCTGTATGTATATTTAAATGAAAAAATGTTTTTTTTTATGTATTATCAAAAATGCAATATTTTTTAATTTCAAACTTTACCGTTTCTATATCGAAAAATAACTCTTTATCGTAACAGTTATTGAAACAGCAACGAAAATCGCAAATAATTTGCAATGCAACGTATTGCTGGTACGATTGTCTTTCATTTTTGCACTGCACCTACAAATTAATATGCGCCGACATGTGCCTGTCGATGGGATATCGACGATATGCACGGAGAATATTAATTACCGTATATATTTCCCAGAAGTTTCGGTATCCTTTTTTTTAACTAATTATTACGATACCAATCCAAAAATCCATTTGGCTATAATATCGCTGAAATTAAAATACAGGTCATCGCATACGATATAAATTAAAAATATGAATTTTTCCTATTTTCATATCATTAATAAAAAATTATTATAATTCATTGTTTTCGTCATCTCTTTATTTCCGTCCCTTTATTCCCTTCAATGCCCCAAAGCAACGTTAATCAAATTATTTCGAGCAGCCATCCAAGCCGTCTGTGCATTTGACAGGAAGTGTGTCTCGCAAGCTGAAAGGGTTGCCAACGCACTAATTTACTGTCGCCACTTGAAAACCCACCTACGCTTTGCATACCTATCGACCCTAATATTAGGGTTCATACATTTCGCCATACACGTTCAGTGTAAAAGCGATACTTTCAAACGAGACTGTACATCACAACATAAGAAATTTAGTATCGAATTCGATTAGTTATATTCTAATAAACCAATTTCCTGTATTGAAATCCTGCAAATGACGTAACTCGAACTGTTCCCCATACACGAGATGCGAATTCGGCTGAAATTCTAACGAGTGGGACAAACCAGACGCTGTACTAAAAGGCAAACCATGTACAGTTAAAGATATGAAGAAGGTTTACTTTCGTAACTGACTATATCCAAGTTGGCGGCAAGTCTTTGTTACTTCATACTTCCCCCCCTCCTGTCCAAATAGGCACAATATTTATCAAATGCAAAATAACAGTTGATTTTTACAAACGACACTGCTCCATTTATCCACTTTATTTATTTGGCAAGGAAAATCAATTCTTCTTACTTGACGTTTACACAACTTCCCAATATGTCTCGTTGACACAGGCATTTTCATATAATGCAGCCATTACGTGTCTGATGTATATATGACTGGGTTGGCCTCCCCTTTCAGACTGGATAGATAGTACAGGTGTAGTACTATACGTCATAAACAAGTACACACATGGACTTTGCTAATGCAAGTATAAAAGGGTGGGACTGGAAAATGACTAAGGCCCTGAATGTACGTTAACTGGGATAATTATTTCCGCGGTCGGTCGGGCGCCCCACTTAACCTATAAAATTTGCATGCTCGACTTCCTGGCACCCTTCGAGTAGATGCTGTCCACTTTGTATTACAAAAAGACATCATACTCGACCACCTGGTACAACAGAGGCTAGTATTATTTTCGCGAAATTTTCAAGTGCTAGCAACTTTATAGTAATATTTAAATTATGGTAATTATTAAAGAAAAAAAAAAAATGTAACATGCCATCGGGTACCGGACTCGCTACGTGTATACTGTGCTTCGACAACTTATCTGGGTCCACCGTGTAACAGCTGCTTTCCCCAAAGGACATTATTACGTGCGATTACGTAACCGGGTTAAAAGCGTCCATAGAAGATCTTAATAATAATGCGATTACGAGTTTTGGGCTTATGCCGTGCCAGGCTTAATCGCAAATTCTAACTCCATTTTGGTGTGCGGTCATCTCCACCGTCTAAATAATTCAGCGAACACATGTGACCGGACAACAGAGCCATCTACCTACTGGGGACCTAACTAGTTAACGGATAGATTATTAAGAGTATCCTCCTGGCGAATATTTAGCATCTGCTTATCGTCTGAGTTTCTCTTATGGACGGAGTAATAATATTTCGTAAGTCGAAGAGTGATCTGAATGGGCCGTAAAAGAAATTGAGTGTAAACAAAGTAAATCTTGTGAGACGTATTAATGGTTTTGGAGGTTCGAGCCGAGACTTGCCGAGTACTTACGAAATGAGCCGAACGTTGAAAATACTTGGATTTTGGTGATTCGGTCTAATCCTCTTGGTTGGCTCGAAGGAAGTAATCAAAGTAGCGAAATGAGTCGGGTCTTGCCCTTAAATGAATAGCGACGTAAACCAATCTTAAAGGAGGGCGCATAGCATCGCGAGAACTCACTAATCTTGTCTAATCGATATAAACTGGTGTACTCGCTCAATGTCGTAGCCAGAGTATCAGAACTTTCGACAGCGACGACGTTGCCTCGCTTGTTTATCGAGTCGTAAATTTATTGAACTTTCGCGAAAGTCATCTCAGCCTTAAGATGGGTATTAGGCTTTGGAATCTGATTGATCGATAATCGATTTATAGTTACCTTACAAGCGGTCGGTAATGTTTGTGTTTTTAGATCGAGGTTACTTTAATCTGCATTATTCCTTATTTCAATACTTTGCACAAGACGGCGTCATTGGAATTTCTAATTAATCCATAGAGCACCGGGGTAGCTGTAATTTATTCTTATAATCCTATATCGAGGTTAACGAACGTCTGGCTTTGCACTCTTTTTTTTTTCAACTACGTATTCCGTGCATTTGAATAATACAGTGTTTATTAGTGACCCGAAACGAAATCTGTATAACGCCCTGAGAATGACTCTACTTCTTTTTAACCTGTTTTTCGGAAACGCGTGTTACGTGGGAAGGTACAGGAAAGTAATAATAACTAGAATATTTTTCAAAGCTCCACAATTAAAAATTCACGTAATGGCTGCCACTGTGCTTCGCCACTTTTTTATACGACGTTCGAAAATATTACTTTTAGCAAATTCATTACTGCGTGCAGATCTGTCTGTGATTCGCCTGACGTGACTAAAATTTAAATCAGTGAGTATATTATTTAATTTTGTATTGATATTTTATATTACCGAGTACGTAATTCGTATATCCTCCAGTAAAGGCTGGTATCGACTAGAGTAGCACCAGCGAGTACGAGACAGACTGTAAGCTGGTTCTTTTCGAAGCTTCGTAGTAAAGCTCTTTTAAGCTCCGTCTGTCAATGATAGGACGTAGAATTTACGAGCAGCCATGCGTCGAACCATACTGCAGATTGCCCATGTCCATAGGGTTCTGTATGATAAAGCAAAGCCGGCAAATAAATAGAGTATTTTTACCTATTGAAAAAAAATCTTTAAATAAGCAAATAAACGTATGACACTATCAACAGATTATTTTAATAATTATTCGATAAATAATAAAATTTTGAAATTTTCTTTCATCAATTTCAAGGATTATTATATCCAATATATAAACTAGCCTAATTATCATTTTTATGCTGCTTCGAACGCCGGCAAGTGGGAGATGCTATTTTTTTATTCATAAGAACAAACTTCCCGAGTAAACTCTTATAGAGAAATTGATTGTAATTGGAAATTGGAAAGTCCCATGGTGATTGATACCGGCTATCCTGTCCAACAAACGTGAAATAATTATGATGCATTATTGTGTACATAGAATCTTTGGTATAATCTACATACACAGAGTCATGGGAATCAATATTATTTATAGTCTCTAGTCGATTGGGTCGAGTATCGAATATCGATGTGATATTTCGTACTTACGTATTTACGTATAAAGGTATATATGTATATACATTTTTTTTTAATCTGCCAAATACTGTATCGAACCTTTGTGCATTGTTATACGAACTGTGATCGATAACTAATAATGATAATGGGTGCTTCAAAGTAACAATGGAAATAAGAGTAGAAAAACTTTGAAAAAAATTTCAAATATAATTCTTTGTGAATTCATCGGCAGAGTAGAAAATTATGGAATTCCCGTTATGTTCCTAAATAGACGGAGGAGGTTTCAAAATTTTGTTCCTTTTAGTAAAAAATCCATGTCAGGCTTTACCGAAGGTTCGATTGTTCTCGCTTTATTCGGCTTGTGATTGGCTGTCGGTGTCGTCGGTCGACGACTACGAAAGTGCAGTTTAATAAATTATATTTTTCTACTACATCCAGCCTATATTGGTTCAGAGCGCTGCTGTCCTTTGTTCGGCGCATGCTGCTCCGGTATTCCTTAAAAATGTCGCTAGTCCTGAACAAATTTTCAAAAGTCTCGGGTCAATCCGATACCAAGGTAAATATAAACGCATATGAAAATATTTGATCGGGAAAAGTATTGCCGTAGGGCGTAGAAGCCTTGAGGCAGTTAAAATAATATTTAACGGTCGGTGCGACGTGTAAAAAGGGACGGGCCCGACATTGATGGATAAGGATTTTGTGGCGAGACATAACAAAGTTATATAACAACAGAGGAGATTATTTAAAAGTTTATTTGATAATGGTCCACAGGATTATATACGTATTCATTGAAAAAGTCACGCGGCACGTCATTCGAAGTTTGTTCTGTATTCAATTAATTCGAAATCAATGGAATTTTCGAAATCCACTTATACGCCGAAGTTAATTGACGATCGAGAAGATCGATCTGTTACTATGACGTAATACGTGTATCGAGGTAAATTGGGATAATATTCCTTTTAAGGCTAATTGAAATCTCGGGCGTCGTTGATAATTGAGAATTAATGCGATTGTACCATATAAGCGATCGCATTGAAAAAAGTATTACGTGCGAATGAGTTGTTTGTCAGGAATTTTTTGTTTTTTTCTTTCTTTCTTTCCCCCAATAAAATCATTGCTCCCGTTAAACCGCGGCATTAGTTAAATTATCGTAAAGTCGATCCTTTCCGTTTAGCTAGGCAGTTTCGCCATTGCCCTATTAAGGGGACCGTTTCCAATCAGATGTGGGCAATTAAAGGCCAATCGTTTCCCATTACGGTCTTCGCTCTACGCTTTCAGCTTAGCAACGCAGTCCCGGGTGCTATACCCATTCGGGAAATGTTATTCGCCTTGGTTTTAAATCGATTTTCGTTTATCGCATTGCTGCTATAGACTTTTCTAGGAAAGCGTGTAGCCTCCTTCATATACAAACGTAACGCTAAATCGAAGCCTCGGTCCTAGATGAACGGCACTGGCCGAATGAGAAATTTCAAAAAATAATCAATACAAAAATTTGCATTAATGACCATTTTGAAAAATTAACGTTGACCCTCGCATGAATATTTTCATTGTTGACCCCATTGTTTACCCCAGCTGATTTCGAGCCTTCAAAGGAAGGGCAGCACGGTGGCCGTAGGAATAGTGAACTTGATAATGCGCGCAGTCGTAATGAATTAGCAGACATCAGTAGGACGCGGTGGGTATTGAAGTTTCTAGGGGTTTGCGAAACTGATTGCGAGTGAAGCAGCTCTGGCAGAATGCTGATTCCGACATGCGCGGTCAGTCGCTTGCGAGACGGTAGCAAAAGGGGTGGTTCATGCATATGCTAATAATATTCAGAGACGATGGCTTCTAGGGGAGAGAGAAAGAGAAAGGAAGAGACATAGCCTATATATCATCCAAGTTAGTAGCGGTATATAAAACAAATATATACAACAGTTAGAAAATATTATGTAACATAATAAAACATGTATTTAACGTGTAAGACACAAGTCAGCTATCGATATCCACTCGGAGCAACATTATTGATAATATAAAAAATATCAGTATCAGGCACATTTGATAGGGCCATAGCAAGGATTCATAAATTTTTTGGTAACCGGATATATAGTTTTCGTCATGCATCTTATATAATCTAGTTACTCGTTTTTCATACAACTATTACCCGTTATATGTTAACTGGCCTTACAATTCGACTTGGGTATCTCGTACGTAACGACGAAGTCATCGTCTTCCTGTTTTCCAGTCCAGGAACATTTGGCCATTTCGACTGGGTCTCCTTGGCTATTGCCAATCCACTCCGTCCTTCGGCTAGACTTCCAATTACGATTGGAAGTATTCTTGGGGTTGGTAGAAAACACGTATATCTTGATTCTGAGTCAAAGGCTATTTTATTGAATGGTAAGAAAATGGGAGAAGACTCTTTTTACAGCCGGATATGTCGATAGAAAAGTTTGTGCCGATACAATAATATTATCAGTGAATTAATTGGTTAAGGCTGGCTGGTCCTTATCGGAATTGGATAAATCAGGATAAATCGCTCGGGTCTCTCCGATATTCTCTTACCGGCTAATGACCATGCTCGGACTTGCATTGGGTGCCCGTGATCTTACTTCTGTCGGGGATCACCCTACTTTCTTTTTTTCAACGTCATTTTTCCCCGGAGCCAATCGCTCATTTGAATGCGAAATGTTGCCCGGGTCGGTTGGGACGTTAACGATTCTTTTGTTTTGCGTATGTCTCTCCGAGTCAAAGTCAGTCCGGACTTGAGGAGAGGGACTTGATTTAGAGCCGCGCCGATATCTCGGCGAATCGCACGAGAGTTAACGAGCGCTGCCCCACGTGAACGCCATGCTATTTGTATACGATGGAATTTTGAAATGCTTTTCGAACGGCTCTTTTGTTTTTACACTGCGAATGAAAACTTATCGATCGGAACTGTTCGGGCTATTTTATATAGGTATATCTTATTGCTTATTACCTTATTGGTATACGTTTATACCTGCTCTTTTTTTTATGGAGCCACTGTTTACTCTCACTTGGCGTTCGACGTCACGTGACTACTTTGGTATTTTATTTTCTATTATTTTCGTTTTACGTCAGCTCATATCGATCCTTACCTATGTCTCTTTACATGAAAGCCTCACGAAAATTCTGATATCAGAGTACATTTTTGTGGCAGCGTAACTTCGAGCGTAAAGAGTACATTCCATCTAAAGTGGTATATTCGCCTTTTACGAGGAATTTAATATGTCTAAGCTCCCCCCGTCGAATGCGCCGTACGAGAAGATCACAGGTTGGGATTCGCGTTTATCGATGTAGTGACATAATGAAATATCAGGATACTGTTCTTTTTTTTAGTACCGTCAGACGTAAGGGATTGGTATTACGAAAATATGGATGATAACGAAAAGTCGTTTTATCATATTTCTTTCGTAACGTTTAACGAAATTATTTTTACCTGTCAGGGTTATCGGTGAGTGTGATAAAAAAAAAATGTATCGTCCGATTTGCAGTTTACAAGACACAAGAAGGGGGTTCCGGAGTTTTCTCTTGTCCCTTGGGCTGGAAATATGACTGCAGGGGTGGTTTCCGCTGCTCCCACCGAATAAACAATAAAAACTTGTCGAAAAGTTTTAACCACCAGGGAGCACCCCGGGATAAACATATTTTCGCGGTTCGTTTATTATTCGAACGAAGATAATCCTACCCTTGTTATGTCAACGGGGACGTCGCTTCGTTCAAGGGAAAAGTAATGCTCGGCTGTGCACATTTACTTTTGACAAAAGTTACGAAGCAATTTGTTCAATGTATAAAACGTTGGCTGGTCCATTGTCGAGGTTGAGGAAATATCGAGGTGCAGATTTAAATTTAGTGCAGGTTATCGACGGTATGTCTTGAGAGAATATTTAATAAATAATACCATTAAGTGGATAACGCAAAATAATTTGATAATTATTAAGAAGAATTAATAAAAATTTTTCAAAATAAATATATACACGATACAATTAACGAGTGCACGACTGTATTGCGATGCCGTGTGAAAATGAATAAAATTAATTTTTTTTTCCAAAAATTATAATTCACTTCAAGATTTACAGTGGATACATCACTCGAGGAAAAGGATCGATAGCTGATTAAGAAAATGCAAATCCACTCGCGTCTCGGCCGTTCGCTTTCATCTCCCGAAGGAGCATTCGTTTCGTTTGTAATGCATGAGGTCCGTCCATTGCCGCATGGATGTATGACTGCCCATTGTTAGCAAAAGGCTCGTCAGTCGTATGTGAAATTTACGCAAAAGTATGATCCTTAAATGTCAGCCAGTCTCGTAAAATCCAGATGAACGTGAATGTACACAGACGAGTGTCAGAAAATTACAAGACTGGTGTCAGAGTCAAAATTAAACAACGTGGTCATAAAATTGAAAAAAATCATGACGAACTACTATTTTTGCAAATAACAGATTAATTAAAAAAAAACGATATAAATAAAAAATAACCTAAAGGAAATATGAAATTGGGATAAATTCAAATATGGTGAAAAAAAAAAATTATTTTATTCTTACGTACCATGCCCGGGTCTGGGAATCGTTAGGGGTCCAGGTCGATCAGGCCAGCAAACCAAAAAAAAAGAAGCGGCCGAAGGAATCGCTCATTTTGGAAAAGCCTTAATGCAATCTAGTCCTGGATCAGCTCGCAGCAGCCTCTTCCGACCGTTCAATGGCTGCTGGGATCGAGCGTCGTTCTCGTTTGACAGAAGCCGATGCATTCCGCACGACATGGCTACTGTCGTCCCACAGCATCTCTTCTCCCTTATTTATTGCCGTGAGATCCGGAGCCAATGGACCAGCCGATGGATGAGCGAGTGAGGAAGCTGGATTGGACATAAAGAGAAACATACATTTGGCATGCACGTATTCAAATATCATGGACCACTCCCTGCGTAGTGGGGAATGTGGTAGATTATTATTATTATAACTATTTTTTAATTTAAATCCGCGAACCGTCCTATCTACAAGGTATACCCGTATACAGGTAGAGATTTTATTTATTTTTGAATTTACTCCAATTTATTTCTCTGAACGACCTGGAAAGACAGTGGAAGTTGCTCTATCCGGTAACTGAGCACGTGGGCCGAAAACTCATTCGAAAAACAGAGTGCTGGATTCAACGGAGCGAAGTGCTCTGCTGGGAAGAACCTTGAGAACATAGGAGCGTCTGGGGTGACTGCGGGGGGTTCATGTCGGCCAATAGTTCATATGCCGGGTGTCGCACCATTCTACGTGCCTGGAGTGTCTAAGGCGGTAGCACGTACACGAAAATTCGTAGGCGTGTGCATTTATTTCGTGGGCTACCTCCAAGATTGCACCCTTCGTCCCTTACCCTCGTGTGTTACGTGCTTTTTCTCTCGGCTAGCCGAACCAGTTCTAAGAGGACCTTACGCCTGTATAAGGTTAAGTAGTGCGAGGGTCAACGAAAACCGGATGTAGGTGGGGTGTATTGTTTTTTTCAAAAATAAAAAAATGAGATACAAATTTTGAAATTTTTCACTGTGAAATCTCGTGGCACGAGTCTGACGCCTTCTTTGACTTTTTTTTATTTATTCTTCTCACGAGCTCTGCGGCTTGCGTTAACCTCGCGAGCTGGTCTGATGTACACGGAGCATTTTGCATAAATTCAAATGTGGGTGAAACGTGACGAAGTTGGTTCACACATGCCGAGAGCGAATTTTACGACGGGGACAAATCGATTTGCTTTTTCGTCGTTCAGCGTGGCGGGAACATTTGAAATTTACTGACGATTTCTTGCCAGCATCCCGTAATAGCATTCTGGACCATTCGGAGCAATTACTTTTTTTTTAACCCTCCTCCCATCGATATGGACGATAACCAGAGGACTTTACGAAGAACCCATAATACGTACGTAACGTATACGTAAGTGCATTATTACCATATGGGAAAAAGGAAAGAAATTTGCATTTACCTCGAAAGCATTCAATTTAACAAAACGAAATTTCACCCATAGCCCGCACTAGCTGGCTAGCACCACGGACTGATTGAAAATTCGATTAAAGGTTCGTTTGGGGAGTGTCGGCTGCTCTGGAAAATTACAGGAGTCTAAAGGACGTATATGCGCACTTTATCCAGTGTTCCCACCCACCCCTATGTTTCATAACTTAATAACGAGAGAGAGTGCCCTTTGATTTACTAGTATTTTGCATCTGACATATCCCGTTTACCCCATCTCGATACCAGTTGGGGTCCTACGACGTTCACCCTCTAATTAGTTAACTCCATTATCGTTAGGGTTAGCACAATTTTTCACGACCCTTCGACTATATGCTTTCGACCGGAAAGCTTTTTATTATTAAGAAAAAAGAAAAAACAAGTCTCGTACCATCTCCAACGACATAACCTCAAAATATAATCTGTGCTCGATAACTGAAAATAAGGAGAAGCTAAAATGAAAAAATCAATCGGAATCTATTATTGTCTTTACGCTTGGATGATTTTTCATCTTCCCTTCTACTTCCTCGCCGACTGAAATTGATAATTGATAATTCAATTGGAAGGTGTACCCAGTTGATTTATCTACAGGCCTTTCTATATTCTCGGTCTGCCAATTGGGATTCACAATTCAATTAGAAGTTAAACGCTGTCGGTCTCTGCGAGGTATCCGAGTTACTCCAAGTTCAATCTACCTAGCTGGTTACGTAACCAGCCGTGAGCTGAACATTGACTCGAGAGAGTCGATCTCATAATCTCCACAGTCTCCCCGCCTTTCCTTCCGCCCTAATAAAGTATGCAGTCTGAATAGCAATGAGCTTCGATGTCACTTGGACACGTGAAGCTAACTCTTTAATAATCGTGCTTCGTTCGCGATAACTTCCTCGTTTGGGCACCGTGCTTTTATGCTTGAGGTCAATATCGTCGTTGAGATATTTTCAATGAGACTCGATCCCTTTGTTCTATTCTGATCGGCCAATAGGAGAGGTTGTTTAATTTTTACAGCGGGAAAGAGGGGAAAGGGGGGTTGATAGCGTGAGAGATAAGAGATGATTTAAAAAAATTAATAATCTCTATAATCTAAATAAATTTGTGACGTCGTTGTGACGTAACGAGTCGTACGATTTTTGAGTGATTTTTTATATTCAAGACTATAGAGAAATTTATGGTAATTTTTTTTTTATAAAATTTTTTCATCTTCGACGATCAAATTCCTTTTTGTGATTGATCAGTTATCGATATAATAAAAAAAAAAAGGGAAAAGGGGATATTTAATTGTCTGGAACTAATGAGAATGGCTGGTAATCAATTAGATTTTATTGATGGTAGAAATACCCTTGGAATATTATTCGATCCTGTGTTATTAATCGTGTAGGATTAAATGGAGATTTTGCAAAAAAAAATGATTCTGGACCAATGACTATTGTAACCCTTGCGAAAGTCCGTATACCTTACGCTATATGATTAAACACGTAGAACGTCGTGCTCGAACGCGCGATTCCCTGGGAAATCGAGTTTCCGTGGTGTTTCGTAATTTCGTAACTAGGGAAACGTGCCGGGGAAAATCAAAACCCAAGAGACGTCAGGCGGTTATTAAAAATTGAATTACGAAACTTGATAATTCGTGGGACAAGAACTTTTCGTTAACAGGGATCCGTCTGACATTACGTATCACGTAATTTTATCTCTCGCCGGACATTTAATCTTGGACGAGCGAGTCACACACTCGGATAAAATGGATTAATTTTTTTTTTCTATCCAACATGGCGTCGATATCCCTCGCGACACCTGTGATTCCCTATATAAGCTTGACGAGACTTTCGAAACTTAAATTCGTTTGAATTTACGATTTTTTCGTATAAAAATTTCATAAGTTACTTTTTATCATAAAATTACGTCACATGCCACGTGTAAAGAATACGTTGACAGATATTGAAATGGACACTTCGTAGCTGAAAATATTAACAGACGTGGTATCTTGACAGTTACCGATCGGCGCCTATACAGATAATAACAATAACTAACGTATCTCCCCCCATTACGTGTCCCTTCACCTCATAACCTATTTTTCCTATCAGCCTACCCCGCCGAATAACAAAGAGAAAGCAAAGCAAAGAGCAGCCGTTAAAGAAAAATAAAGGTCAATAAATGAGTAGTTAGTTGCATAATGGGAATAGAAAAAAAAAAACACGTTTATAGAGTCATTACGCGTTTACTCGCGAATTACAAGAGGCTCACGTGCGAATTGCTCGAAATTTTATTAGCTAAAGTACATTCGAAGTAATAACGTACATTTATTCGTATCGTTACTGTTAAAGAACAATATGCCAATCGGAAATTTCACTAATGCGCATGAGATACGTAGTATAATACAAGTAATAATAAAAGTAGCGTTCGATAGGTCGATTATCTCGATCGATCGATCGATCGATCAATTCAATTTGATTTGATCGAAAGTAGACTCACGTTCCAGGATCTACGGAACGGTGAAAGTACCCAACACGTCCTATCCCATTATGATGAAACTTAACGTGCGTATTTGTACCATATGTCCTATAGGACATATACATATGGACGTGTGGCGTATGGGGCCGTAACTTGTTCACACGCTGGCGGCACGTGTCACTGTTAATCATGCGTGGAATATCTTCGTGTACTTGCATGTGACAGTGCCACCTGTCTAATTAGAGACGATTGATAATCGGTTCTGGGGTACCTGTGGGTAAGGTGGGTAAGAACGAATTGCTATTGGATTATTACGAAATACTTTATTCTTCGGCGTAGCCTCGACCAACGTCGGCATTAGCTTCCATCTTGTCAGACTAAGATTCGTCCTGGTTCGACGGAGTGACGGGAGATATATGATTCTCTATAGACCTTTGATGAATAAAGCGCCATTGTTTTGGATGACTCGTTACTTTTGCTCATGAAAACCATTACGGTTCCACGAATCATTGAAATTGAGTAAAAGTTGCTGGATGATTTTTTTTTGCTGTGAAAATTTTGAATATTAATTTTCGAAAAAAAAAAGTTCAATAAGATTTTCGTGAACTTTCGTCAAATTTTGAAAATGAAGAACCCGGGGTCAAGGTCGTCAAATTTTTTTTCAACGATGCATGATAGCGCTGGGTGACGATTTCTTACGTAAATCAGCAGCCTTTGCACGTTTCGATCCGACTGACAGAAACGACGCGAAAAATCGTCGCATCTCGAAAACTAATCCGTATAATCGGAATTGTCGTTCATCAATGACACACACGCTATTTCATAGGGGAATCGGGTGGCTTTCGCGTTCTCGAATAGGTTGAATTGTGAAAAATATGTTATCGATGTAGCGACTATCGATATCCCTATTGTGCCGATCGGCTCGACGTTATCGAATCTCTCGGCTTTTTCCAACGACAATTTACGGGAATTATTGCAGTAACGATACTTGTTTTTTTTTTTTTTTTTTTTAAAGAATAACAATCCGACCCGTTTCCGGTATAGATATACGATATCAAAAAGACATATATTACGTTCGTGAATTTCGCTAAAATTTATGAAATTAATAAAAAAAAACAAAAAATTCAATTTTTCCCAAAATACGCGAATTTGAGATAAGCTATCGAAAAGTAATAGCCAACAAATTTTTTAAATTAAAACGACCTGATATGTCGAACTACTTTTTTTCTTCTGTTTGACACGTTCGTACTGACAAGACGTCAGGAACATTCTGATCTCCCAATACGATTCTTATTGTCGAAGAGCGTTCGAGTTTAATCACATAGAAACGACCCGTCCCTCAGTCTGGTCAGGTTGCAAGATTCAGGAGCGTCCCGTGGATTGGATTAAGGTCAATCAAGGAACATTACTGTTACTCAACATT